AACTGTTCATTTAAGTTTTCTAGTTTCAGTTACTATGGCTATTTTGAAGAGATGACAATTTCTACGTGGGAGTTTCCCCTGGCTAATGTGTCTCTAGTCTTCAAATTCAGGATTCCTTCCTTCCCACAAAAAAAACAAAAAAAAAAAGAGAAATTCATAAAACGTGTTTCTTTTCATTGCTTATTATTCCAGTGAATGGTGTAGCATCACTCCAGAACTCAGGAGTCATCTTTGACATCTCTCACTTCATGTCACCTCTCCTTCCCCATAATTATATAATTCATCACCATTAGGTGCTCAATTCACCTCCTAAATCTCTCAAACTTGTCTCTCCACTTTCTACTGCTACACCACCTTTCTATTTTAAGTTCCTTCATCTCTTGCCTGGACAACTCTAAAAGCCCCTCTAAAGGGGTTCCCATCGACTCCCAAGTCTCCACAAGGAAACCAAATGGTCATCCTTAAGCACGGCCTGCCACACCCTCAAGGTTGTGTATCACGCTCTTTTTGGTCTTTGAGGTCAATAGCCTTAGGGTTCTCAAGTAAACTATGTTCTCTATTACTGTAAGGCCCTGCACATGTTATTCCTATTGCTCGGAAAGCTCTTGCTAAATAAATCTTATCCTTCAAATCTTAGTTCAAAGTTCATTTATTCATGGAAAGTTCTCTGATACCCTGACTACGTCTCTCTCATGGTACCACATAACCTTTCTTCACAGCACTTAACACAATTGTATGAGTGTGTGTGGTTCACGGATTAATGACTGTGTCTGCTCTTGCCTATAAAGTGCTTAAGAGTACTGAATCAAATTCTCTGCACCAAGCAAAGTGCTTGCACACAGAGGGTGCTCACATATGTGCTGAATATGCATATATCAAGTCTACAGTAACCAACATGATCTCTATAACTCACAATTTCTGCAATTTAGCATTTTACTAATATTACTCGATCAGTATCAACATCCAGATCAGCCTTAGGTCTTTACTTTCTAGCCACCATACTATGAAAGCAAAGGCTGAATTGTTATAAATTTAAATTAAAAATCTGTTTTTGTAACGGTTGCTTCATTTACCTCTTAAAACTATTTAGAAATCGGCAGGCGGTGAGCGAACATGCCACTGTACTCCAGACTGGGTGACAGAGTGAGACTCCTACTCAAAAAAAAAAAAAAAAAAAAAAAGAAAGAAATCAGCTGTCCTAGCCAGGTGCGGTGGCTCATACCTGTAATCCCAGCACTTTGGGAGGTGGAGAGATGAGAGGATTGCCTGAGCTCAGGAGTTTGAGACCAACCTGAGCAACATGGTGAGATATTGTCTGGGCCCCCCCTCCCCGCCAAAAAATTAGCCAGCCTGTAGTTCCAACTACTTGGAAAGCTGGAGAAGAAGGATCGCCTGAACCCAACAAGTCAAGGCTGTGGTGGCCGTGAGCATGCTACTGCACTTCAGCCTGGGCAACAGAGTGAGACTCAGTCTCAAAAAAGAAAAGAAATTAGCTGTCCCAAAATTATAGCAGTGGATTCTCAAATTAACAAAAATGTGAACATTCTGCAATATTCTTATGCTCTGAAATGTAAACTTCATTTAATCTACTGTTCTTAGTAATTGTTAAATGTTCAAGTAAACATTAACTATAAAGGGCTGTAGTTAGTAATCTGTTTATTTATTTATTTTTTTGAGAATGGTCTCACTCTGATGCCCGGGGTGGAGTGCAGTGACATGCTCACAGCCACTGTAGCCTCGACCTGCTGGGCTCAGGCGATCCTTCTGCCTCAGCCTTCCAAATAGCTGAAACCATAGGCGTGCGCCACCATGCCCAGCTAATTTGTTATTTATTGTAGAGACAAGGTCTTGCTGAGTTGCCCAGCTGGTCTCAAACCCCTGGACTCAGGCAATCCTCTTGCCTCTGCCTCCCAAAGTTCTGGGGTTACAGGTGCGAGCCACCACGCTGAGCTCAGTAATTTATTTAAACTGCAGCTATTTAAATGGTGTAGACTTGATTACATGTTAAATCATATATATGGAGAAAAATGAAGCAAGTAAGCATGCCATACAGCATGCCGAAGAGTAACTATCAGAATATATTTTACACATAAAAATTTAAAAAGGGAAAATGTAGCAAGGGAATTTTATACTGTGATTAGAGAACTTCCTTTTTTATGTTCAATGTTTAAAGGTCCAAATAAAATTTTTCCCAAATATGAAGCCAATGTCATAAAAAACTATCTAACATTATTGCTCAAGTAATTGATACAAAAAAATCAAAGAATCAGACACACAGAGTAATATCGTGCCAATTTTGTAGGCCTTTTGTGGTGGTCATATCTGTTTTGTTTGGCATAGGTTTAATTTCTGGCACAGAGCAGGTAGTAGACGAAAATTTGTTGAAAAAACTTACCAAAGCAGAATAGGAAACTGGGGCAAGCTATTCTGCAGGTTTGAACTCTGGCATTGTGTTGCTGTTTTGTTGTAGTAACAATTACAAAAGTGATACAATTACCAGCCAGGTGATACACTGTGCTACAATTATTTTTTTTAAAGTACTCATAATAAATATAAGGGACAAGAGCAACTGAAATAAAGGTAAAATAGTTCTCTCTTAATTGTTAACAGTGCCAATTAATGAAAACTGCATTTTATAACAGAATTCAAATGGAATTTTTAAAAATTTCCATGTGTTTATTCTCTAGTTGTATTAGCTTCCTCTGCTTTCCCAAACAAACCTACAAATGAATGTCCAAAATATTCTACCAAAACCAAAAATTCAATATTTACTTTACTATAAACAGATTAATTTGGGGGGGGACAACACGCTAAGTTTCCCTGTATTTGGTAGGTACATTAACAAAGTTATTCCCATCTAGAGAGAGAAAAAAAATTGAAGCACTTTTGCACATGCTCAGGGTAACTGCAAAATAAAATTATTAGACTTTCTGGACAAGTCTTTAGTTAAAACAAAAACAAAGAAAAACTAAGTATCAAAAATTCAACTTAAGTGCTTACTACTTTTTAAAAAAAATTAATTTGGGCCAGGCCTGTAATCCCGGCACTTCGGGAGAGTGAGGCAAGGAGAATTATTTTAGCCCAGGAGTTCAAGACCAGCCTGGGTAAGACCTTGTCTCCACAAAAATAAAAAATAAAAAAATTTTCAAACAAATCAGCTAGAAAAAAGCAAATAACTTTATTAACAACATAAACAGGTATCTCTCAAAAGAACATATACAAATGGAAAAAAAAAATTAGGTGTCTAGTCCCAGCCTCTCAGGAAGTTGAGGTGGAAGGATCACTGTAGTCTAGGAGTTGGAGGTTGAAGTGAGCTGTGATCCCATCACTGTACTTCAGCCAGGGCAACAGAGTGAGACTCTGACTCAAAAAAAAAAAAAAAAAAAAGGTTTAATTTGAAGGACTGCATGCCCTTTCCTACATTTGTATACACGTTTTGAAAACCTTGCTATGAATATCCTCAGTGGAAGATATATCTGGTAAATTATGACAAGTATTCCAATCCAAGCAAACGTAAAAGGTGAGCATTTTGGAAATGCAACAGTGCAACCAAGATACAGAAAAGTAGAAAACAGAAAATAGTATATTAATTGTAAAACTGTAGTATTTTAATTACTTGAATTCAAAAGTATCACAAGTCTTAACAATCTTTAGGTTGGTAAAATGATTACCACTTTCTAATAAAAGTTTAAAGAAAAAAGAATGGTCAAACCATGGTCCCATTTGCAGTATTATATGAAAGATTATATGTCCCAGGCACATAGTAAACTGTACACGGAGTTGTTTTGGCTTTTTTTAAATGAAAGAAATTACAATGTTTTAGATTTTCACTCCAAAAATAAAGTCTCACTATCTTATTTGCTAACTCTCTGGCTTAAATGTCATCTTAAACCGATTTTTAAAATTTGTATTTTAGAGATGTATTTAGTCTTCAACGATTAAGCAAAAAGCTAGCTGGAGAAGCAGCATTCACGCGTATTGATAAAAGTTTTGAAAAGATGATTTTAAGTAAATTATGCCCAACACCAACATTTCAAAGTATCAGAACTCTGATGACTCACTCATCTGACCACCTTATCCTGAGCAACACCATCTTTGGGGGCGTAGGATTCTCCTTTCTGCAATTTCACAATCCCGGTGGTTTAAAAACAAAACAAAAAACCTGCTGGGCCTTTCAAAACTCCCCCAACCCACTTACCTGGTAAAATCAGTGCCCTGCTTCTCAAGCTTAGCCATGGGGTAACGACAACATCGTTAACAGAGCACAGTCCAAAGCCGCACCAGACACGTGAAGGGTCGAAGGAGATGCCCGAGCAGGCAACTCCTGGGATGCAGGTGTGGGGGTCACGGGAGAGAAGAGCCAGTCTCGCGGGGAGGGAACCCACCAGGTTGAGAAGGGCATCCCTTCCGACTTCGGAGACGGCCACCTGAGAACCACCATCCCCGGCCCTCCTCCCGCTGTCAACAGCCAGCCCGGCAGGTCCAGGAGAAGAGGGGCGCCCATCACTCCCGGGGCCTCTCCCACGGCCCGAATTAACCTGCACGCAGCCAGACAGCGAGGCCGCCCGGCACCGCCCGGGAGAGGCGGACAGGAAGAGCGAGCCGGGCGACGGGCGCCGACTCATCCCCATCCCCGCAGGCACCGGCTGGCGGTGGCGCGACGCCGCCGGCTGGCCCTCCGCCCGGACAAGCGTCCCCTCGTCTTCGCCCCTGGCGCGTTTCACCTTCTCGCGCCCTCCCTACCCGTTCCCACCGTTCTCGGTGGCAATTAAAAAAAAAATTTTTTTTTTAATGAGTGGTTTACTTGGAAGAAAGGAGGGCAGCCTGACCGTCCCGCGGAAGGGCCCGAGAAGGCTGGCCGGGCAGGGGGGCGTCGGCGCCGTTCTCCCGGACCAGGGAGGAGGAGCTCGCCGGCTAGGCCGCGAAGCCGGGGCTTTGCGTAGCGAGCGGCGCCGAGAAGAGGCGCGGCAGGGCGGCCGGGGCCCGGAGCACAAACTCACCAAATCTGGAACTTGAGCAGCGGCCCCGTGGCGTACTGCATCTTTAATCTTTTGCTGGGCATGCCGCCCAGGTTGCCCGAGGCCTCGCTCCGGACCACCGCCGACGCCGCCACCAGGAGAAGCAGCAGAAGCCTCATCTTAACGGAGGCAGCCGCGCCGGCCGCCCTCAGACTGAGACTGCCGCCGGCCCCAGCGGGAGCCGCGAGCTTCTCCTCACTGCGCAGGCGCGATCCGCCAAGGTCGGGGGCAGGGGAGCCGGAATGCGCCTGCGCGGCCCGGCGCCTGCGCACACTCTGAGAAGGAGCGCCCAACCGCTTCACCGTCTTCACCGCCATGTTGGCTGTGTGCACAGGTCCTGGGAGGGCGGGAGGGGGCAGGAGAGGGCGCCAAGGAGCGCCCGTGGGGTGTCAGAGGAACCTGTAAAGTATTGTCCCCGGTACATTTGGGTTCCACACCCGATTTTATTCATGTCTTCGTCTGTCTGCTCGAGGCACCTGGGAACACCTGTCAAAGCCCTGATTCAGGTGTGGGAGATAGGGAAATCCTTGACCCTGAGAACTGTAACGTCACACTTTGGTGGGTGCTGTGTCATGGCCTTTTCTTTGAGCTTCAAATAGTGCTCTCTCTTAAAGGAATATTGGAGATAAATTTTGTAAAACCTGACCCGGCGCGGTGGCTCGTATCTGTAATTCCAGCACTTCTTGCTATACTGCCCCAAAGTGCAGGTTCTTCACCGACCTGCCACCATCAGTGCTCCCTGTAAATTTGAATAAACTAATGTCTTTCCTGCTGGACTTCCAGGTGACTTCTTTGGAATAGGTAAACAGTACTTGCAAACCCTTTCAGATTTGGGGTAACTGTGGTACAATAGCAGATATATAGTCAGTGTTTATCCTGTTGGCCGAATGACTGTTTTCTACTATTCATTTATTCACATCAAGGACAAAATAAAATCCAGGCAGGGCAGAGTGGCTTACACCTGTGATGCCACCACTTTGGAAGGCCTTAGCGGAAGACTGCTTGAGGCCAGGAGTTCAAGACCAGCCTAGGCAACATAGAGAGACCCTGTCTCTACAAAAAACTTTAATAAAAATTAAGTTAGCCAGGCGTGGTGGCATGCCTGTAGTTCTACCTACTTGGGAGGCTAAGGTGAGAGGATCACTTAAGCCCAGGAGTTGGAGGTCACAGTGACTCAATCACATCACTGCACTGCAGCCTGGGCAATGAAGCAAGACCCTGTCTCTAAAAAAAAAAAAACAAGAAACAAAAACCAATTTATACATTATCATTGGTTGATATGTCCTTTAGTTCCCATCAAAACCTGTTAGTCCAGGAACAGACCAGTAATTGAATAATTTCATCTATTATTAGTTGCAACAAGAGGGTTGCTATGGTTTGAATGTGTCCCCCCAAAATCATGTTGAGAGAGGAGAAAGAAAGAAATCAGATAGGCAGACAGATTAGGGCGGGTCTCCAATAGGATTCCATTTTACCTGGAGAAACAGCTCCAAGCTGCAGGCTTTGGACAAAAGCCACAACCATACCCTTTTGGCTCACTTTCTTTTTTTCAAGCACCTTTTCCTAATTGACCTGTCACCTTTTTAGTCCTTACTACTGACCAATTAGGTTAGTGTATTTTCAGTCCCTATTACCAACCAGTTAGCTTGCCCTGAGTACTATGTAAACCTCCGGTCTGAATTCAGTGGTCTCTTTTGGCCTCAGCAACCCTCTTGGGTGCCTGACAACCCACTTGTGCCCCTTCTACCTCCCACCCCCCGAAGAGCTGCTAGTACTTTCTTCCTAAATAAGCTTCAAATTGCTCGTCCTTTCAGTATCCTTGATCATTAATCTCTTTTTTTTTTTTGAGTCAGAGTCTCTGTCATTCAGGCTAGAGTACAGTGGCACGCTCACGGCCACCACAGCCTCAACCTGATGGGCTCAAGCAAGCCTTCCAAGTAGCTGGAAACTACAGACACGAACTACCACGCCCAGCTAATTTTTTGATTTATTGTAGAGATGAGGTCCCCCCAAGTTGCCCAGGCTATTGTAGAGACAAGGTCCCCCCAAGTTGCCCGTGGGGTCAGGCTATCCCCTCACCTCAGCCTCCCAAAGTTGGGATTGTAGGTGTGAGCCACCGCACCCAGCCCCTTATTCTTCTTGCTCAGGAGACAAGAACCTGGGATTCATCTGGGATTCATGGAGACAACAGAGTTGTAACCTTTCCTGACCAGGAAGGGAATTCTCTAAGCAAGAGCTGAGAGCTGTAACACCCCTTGGGGCTCCATGGGTGTCAGGCATCCCTGAATTCCAGAGTGCGATAACAAGGTCACCACAGTGCCCTTGGACTTGTCCTTGGACCCCACATGGGTCCCAGGCTGGCAGTGCAGCCCTGGTGCGACTGCAACAATGTGTTGGAAACTTAATACCCAATGTAACAGTGTTAGGAGGTAGGGTCATAAAGGATAAGAGCCCCAAATGGAATTTCTCTGGCCTCCTTAAACCAGACAATAATCCTGTCCTGGAACCCTGGGTGAGTCACAAAACACTGAGATTAACATCTCCTAAGGAATTTGTCTTTCACCTGCCCCTCTCATCTAGGTGGCTGACCCACCCATCCATCTCTTCATCAGGGAGGTGATGGACAGACCTTATCACCATGACAACAGTCATGTGACTTACCCACCCATCTGCCTACCATCTGTCCTGTGATGTCCATGTCTATGCTTACCTGCCCCTTTGAGGTGACATAAAACAGACCACCACCCAATCACCTTAACAACCTGCACACCAAAGGGAAGGTATAAAAAGCATTCAACCTCAAATAGCTGTCACCATGCTTTTGTTAAGCCCTGGCCCAGCCATGCTGCTCTTTGACCTCTGGCTGGGGCAGGCTTCTCTTTAAGCACTGGCTCCCTACCCAGTCAGGGAGGTGGATCCTTCTTTTCTCTCTAGTCTACTTTCTAAATGAACTATATTTTCAATCTAATTTCTGTACAATTCTTTGCATCTTACCCGAGGACTGGATCACAGGCCCCCACCATCTGACCCAACAGGGCCTAATTGGCAGTGTTTAGGTCATGAAGCCTCTACCTCGAGAATAGATTAATGCCAATTATGAAAGGGCTTCTATTTTTTCCTTTCCTCCCCTCCCCTCCCCCCCCTTCCTCCCTCTCTCTCTGTTTCTCTCTCTCTCTCTCCCTCTCTCTCACTTTCTCTTTCTTGAAGGAGTCTGTCACTCAGGCTGGAGTGCAGCCACGACAGCCTCCACCTACTGGGCTCAGGCAATCCTTCTACTTCAGCCTTCCAAGTAGCTGAAGCCACAGGTGCATGCCACTATGCCCAGCTAATTTTTTGATTTATTGTAGAGACAAGGTCTCACCAAGTTCAAGACCAGACTGGTCTTGAATCCCTAGACTCAGGCAATTCTCTTGCCCCTGCCTCCCGAAGTGCTGGGATTACCGACGTGAGCCACCTCACCCAGCTATGGGCTTCTATTTCTATCGCTTGCTGTCGCTTACTCTCAAATTCTCTTCCTCAGCCACCTTCTGCCATGGGATGATGGAGCATGCGGGCCCCCACAAGATGTAGAGCCCTTGATCTTGGACTTCTCAACCTCAAGAACTAGATACCTGTTCTTTATGAATTGCCGAGTCTTGGGTATTCTGTAGTATCAGCACAAAATGGACTAAGACAACTTGGAAGGAGGGACCCTGAGAAACTTAGAATAAACTTAGTTCACATTTAGTCTTAGCATAGCCATTTTTGCTTAGACTGACACGCTTTGAATCTGGCACAGGTTAGACATAGATAGGTAAATTTCCAATAGGCAGATTTTAGGAAGGATTTAGACTTTTTTTTTTTTTTGAGTTGGAGTCTCACTCGGTCACCCAGACTGGAGTGCAGTGGCCACTCCCAGCCACTACGGCCTCGACCTGCTGGGCTCCGGAGATCCTTCCGCCTCAGCCTTCTGAGTAGCTGGAATTACAGGCATGCGCTACCACACCCGGCTGATGGATTTAGACTTTTTACTGCAGGCGGCAAATCTCCATCAAATGCAAGACAAAGACACCTCAATTTTTTAATTCATGGTTTAGCATCATAATCTCTTAAGAAATGCTCAGGTCCCTTACCTGGCGGAAGCCATAGAAATGATAAGACTACCTTTTTGCTAAAGAGCTTGTGAATTGAAAACATCTGACAGGTCTCCGGCAGGAAAAAACCCTCCCCTTGTCTCCTACCTTCTAGCCCACCACCATGGCAGCAATCCTGTGCCTAATTGGCTTGCCATCCCTCACCTGACGTCAGTACCTGTTGCTTACTTGCCCCTTCATGATGACGGCGTAGACTTTCCCCCATCAAAGGTAAGGATTAAAAGGACTCAACCATAAGCAACCAGCTACAGGCCATTGCAGCCATTTCCTCGCTAAACTATGGTCAGGCCATGTTTTCTAGCTTTGGCCCCCTCTCCTCCCTTGGGAGGTAAATCTCCTCTCTCTCTCTCTCTCTCTCTCTCTCTCTCAAATTTACTTTCTAAATAAACTATATTTTCTTTTTTTTTTTTTTTTTTTTTTTTAGTTGGAGTCTCACTCTGTCACACAGGCTAGAGTGCAGTGACATGCTCATGGCCACCACAACCTTGACCTGCTGGGCTCAGGTGATCCTTCTGCCTCTGCCTTGCAAGTAGCTGGAACTACAAGCACGCGCCACCATGCCTGGCTAATTTTTTGATATATTGTAGAGACGAGGTCTCACCAAGTTGCCCAGGTTTGTCTCGAACCTGTGGGCTCTGGCAATCCTCTCTCCTTGGCTTCCCAAAGTGCGGGGGATTATAGGCGTGAGCCACTGTACCTGGCCTAAAATTTATTCTCTAATCTAACTTCTGTGCAATTCCTTGCCTCTTTCTTGCGGCACCAGATTGCACACCAGATACCCACACCTCCAGCAGGCCTGACCTAACATTCTGGAGGCCCCACTGGGAGTGTGACCTAACAACAATATAGAGCAACACTCAGTGACAACATGAACACACCCTGAATACAGCCCCAAGCAGAGGGTTAGAGCCTGGAGAGAGGTCCTGGGGGTGGCCAGCCTGGGTTGTCACCTTCCCCTCAGGCTCCATGCCCAGATATGCAGGCCACACTGAGCAGTAGCCCATTGTTACTGAACAAAGTGTTCTCTGAGTCAGCTGACCACATCTTCCAGCTCTGCATAGTGAGTGTTCCTGTGCACCCTT